ATTATTTATTATGAGTCAACAACAGAACACAATTGAAGTATACAAATTCAAAATAAACTATAAAGACTTAGCAACTACAACAAAAAGTTATTAAACCTCATTTTTTAATTCAACACATGGCAATGAAAGGAATTTCACACAGAAAGAACTTCATGGAAAAAAAAGAAAGCAAAACTACATGGGATTTATTTAAAAAAAAAAAAAAAAAAAAAAAAGGCCAAGTAGGCCTGTGTGACTAGAATGTACAGTTCCTATGAAACTTGAGAGAAATGGAAAGTCAGAACACAAAAGGCAAGAACCAAGAATACTTTGGTGGACTCTAAATTCACCTGAAAAAAAAATAAAATCAGAGGCAGGGCATGGTGGTACACACCTATAATTCCAGCACATGAGGGAGGACTGCTATGAGTTCAAGACCAGCTTGGGTTATATAATAGGATCAGGGCCTAACTTGAACCATACAGCAAGACCTTATCTCAAAAGATAAAATATCACTGGACACATCTAATGAAAGAAACTATTTTAAATGAGTATCTGAATGAAGGTATTAAGTGAAAAGAGCTAATAAAAAAAATGCTCAAGGTATCAACAAAATAATTTACATAAGAACATATCAGGACTTGAATGAGGAGTTGCATAAAAATAAAATGAAATCATGTATTCATTTATTTTATGCCAGTGAGCAGGGTTTACAATAGGGACACAACCAGTGAAGATCATCTACCCTGCCCCCAGAAATGTGCTGGTAAGGAAGACTAAAACACAAACATACCAGTGACAGGCTGTGGAAAATGAAGGAAACAGTGATGAGATGGAAGAGGCAACTCTGACAGAGCTATGAACAAGGTTTTTATTGTCCACAGACCCATTAAAACTGAGAATAAACAATCAAAAGTAGCCAACAAAGAGGAAGAAGTATTTCAGGGGGAGAAACACAGAAGTTATTGTGATATAGCCTAGAAAAAAGTGCAGAGTTTAGAGAAAAGGACAAAAGCACCAAGATTCTGAGGACCTAATGAAAAGCTGGGTCCATTCTAATTAGAGAAAATTAGTGGCACATAAATACAGCAAAGCAGATAGATTTAACAAAGTGTGGAGGTTGGACCATTAGGATTGTGTTGAGCATAGAAAGAGAGCAAAGTTAGGTTAACATCTAGGATTTCTAACTTTGTTCAAACAGGTAGCAGTCCCACTGACAGAGATAGGAGAGACTAAGATCAACACCAAGGGGGCCAAAGGGAGGAGTTAATACTTCCACTCTGAACATGTTAAATGCCCAATGAGATGCCTTGGAGATACCCAAGCAGTGATGTCAAACGGCAGGAAATACATGCATAAATCTAAGAGTAATCAAAATATAAGTCATATAAAGCCACAAGAAAGGTTAAAAATAACTTAGAGAGCTCACCACATATCTACTACAAATAATAGAATCAAATACAGAATGCTACATCCCAGACACTACTCCAGGTAATAAAATGTTCGGCCCATTTTAATCCTCGAAACTCAAATGAAAATGAGGCACAAGGAGATTAAGAAACTTGCCCAATGAAATTCAGCTAATTTTGAACTGGGGTTCAAATCCAAGCATGTCGAGCTTCAGACCATTTACTTTTATGTATTTCATTATGCCACTTCAGAAAACTAAAGCCTAGAAGAAAAAAAAAATCCAGGGCCAGAAAGACAGCTCAGTGACATAAGCACCTGCCTGGCAAGTGCAAGGTCCCAAGTTAGATCCTGGGTACAGAGGGGAAAAGAAATCCTAAGGCCCTCCAGCATTCACTGATGGAAAAAGAAGCCAACATAAAAGACACACAAAAAAAGTGATGGTGACATAAATAACAGCTGGCTGAATCCAGGACTGGTAAAATTTCTCAGGATTCCATAATGGAAAAACAAAAGGGAAAATCACAAACTACTGAAATGGAAAAGGATAGTGGATCATTTTGTGGATGAGAAAATTAAACCTCTTGGTAAAACAATTATAGGAAATGTTACATGGAGGCAGACTAGAATATGTTTCCTGATTATCAAATTGATACTCTTTGTAATTACAACCTACACTGACAAAGTGTCATTCATAATACAGTATTTAAGAAACAGTAACAATAAGGATAACGAAAGCACTGAGAGTAATGTTTACTCTGACACAGTATTGTATTAAGCATTTTGTATTATAATCTCCCAATTTCATTCTCACAGCCCTCATTACGTTAACCACTTCATTACCCTATCCTAGGAAGGGTAAACTTGAGGACTGCCAAATTTCACTAACTTCTCCAAAGTTGTGATAACTGCTCCAGTAAGACTCTAAACTCAGGGCCAGGGGTGAGCTCAGCAATAAAATGCACCCTTTTTTTGCAGGGGGGAGCGGAACAAGAGCTTTAACTCAGGCCCTTGTGCTTGCCAGGGAAGTGCTTATTCTACTGAGCCATCTCCCCAGCCCCTTGCACATTTAAACTGACAGGAGAACCTGGGTTAAATATATGGTAGCTTCCCCTCTCCCAAAAGATGCTGAATCCACATCTTCAGCATTCACCTTGCCAATATGTAATACTGCATCCATAAGTACACTGTTAATCAGGACAAAAAAAGAAAGAAAGAAAAAACAAAAGAAAAGAGTACAGTTTAAGGAGTTTTAAAAACTTGTGCCTGGACATATCCAGTGTGGTATCTCCACAAGACATCCACCTGGAGAGAATATAAAAGAATTAACAATTCTTGATTACTGCATGTAAAGAAAAACCAGTAAGATGTACACAATTACATTACCTGCAACCAGCATAGCAAGTAAGATAGAAGTATAAAAATAATTAAAATGTTTTTACATGAACTATGGTAACCAGGAAATACGCATGAGTAAAATATGAAAATTCAAGATTTTAAAAAATTTGCAATTAAATCATACTCAAACTGCCTAACTTTACTTCAATGTCAAACATATACCTGTAGAGAAGGTGTCTACAGACATACCACCCTGAACACGCCTGATCTCACCTGGAGAGAGAGAAGTTATTAAAAACTGATCTTTTAATATTTACTTAACTGTGGAGAACAAAAGCTGAGGAACCCACAACTGTGAATAAGAAATAACTCACTAAGCTCTTCATAAGTCTACAATAACCCTGAAGCCCTTCACTTGCCTTTTTAAAGATTAACTGGGGGAGGGGGAGGGCCTGCCCCTTAGCTCAGTTCTAAGAGCCTGCTTAAACAGTCAGCTCAGGTTGCTGCCAAACCTTCCCTGAAGGCATTCTGATTGAGCCAAAAAATAAAATAAAATAAAATAAAGATTAACTGGGGCCAATAGTAAGCTTCCGATTTCCTAGGTAACCTGATAATTAAAAAAAAAAAAAAAATCCTTTTAAAGGAGCATTTACTTAAATTAATAAATCCGTCTCTTGTGAAAGGGATTAGTTGATTAGCACTACTCAAGTCTGACAGCTGATTAACTCATGAAACAGGAAAAAAAAATGTAAGTCTCACCAACCCAAACCCACTACCTAAGAAACATAAAGGGATCAAGTCTATTTCCACTGAACATAATCTCTTTACAAAACATCTCTTAAGACACCCACAATCCTGTTACTAGTGTACTTTTATCACTATGCAACTTTAGACAGTGCTCCACTCTCAGAAGGTCATAAACATTCACTGAATAAATTACCTCCATCAAATAGATTTATGCCACCTGCCTGTTGCCTTATTCAACTCTAATTCAGAGTGGCTATATGACAGAAGGAATTCAGTAAGAAACAGGTTCCCACAAAATGACTTAAACATTTCTCAAATGCATAAGAGCACTTATACTTAAGTATAATTTAAGTCTACGCATCAACTAAGTTTTAATCTCTAAAGATATGTCGTTTATTCTTTAATATATCTATCTCCAAAGAGCCAATGCAAGCCAAAAGTAGTAGTATACAAGTAACAAATGGATAGAACAAAGCATTCCAAAGTTACAGTCTCTTGCCTGCATTTTTTTAAACTGCCACTGTAGACTTGCAGACCTCAAACTCAATAATCACAAACAGTAATGCTTACTACTGGTCAACACAAAGTCATTTTCTTTACTCCAAATAATACCTACAACATGACACTTCTCCTCACTTGACAAATAAGGACGGCTTAGAAAAGCTAAAGTAAAAACTGTCATGGAAAACCAGATTTGTTTGTTTAATCCAGTTTATGTGTGCTCAACAAACTCAATTGTAGTTAGATTAAAATTACCCAGTTTCCACCTAAACGTAATCCCCCACAAAAACATTCATGTGACTTTTAAAAAAGTCTTATTACGTATGTCTAAGGTCTGTATTTACAGTAAATAAAAAAATATAAGTCGAGGGGGAAAGTAAGTCCTACAAATGCATTTTGATTAGAAACACAGCAGACCTTCTCTCCAGGGCTGCCTCTTTCCTAACCAGCCAATTCCACTCCCCAGGCTTTCCACAGACGTCCGAGTTGATTCACCTCACCCACTGAGTTCCTGGCTATTCCCTACTGTACTTCTCATGTGATTCTGCAGGGGCAATTTCGCGGTTTCTGGTAAAGCTCTGAACGCCAGGCTCAAAAGGATGTCTACACAGGAAACATCTTGAAAAGCTACAGATGTGTAAAGCCCAGCAGGGAAGCAACCGCCAAGATCCTTACTCTCCCTCCCCAGAGCGTCGCGAGAAATCCTAAATCCTCCTCGACACCACCGCCAACTGCCTGCTCGGTCCTCAACCCTCCTGTTAGACCCCGCAAAGCAAGACCCCAACTCTCTGTCATACTCTCCGCCTCGGGTCCCCTCTCAACCCCAAGCCTCAGTCAGAAGGCAGAGAAAGCTGCAGTGTCTCTCCATCGAACAGTGAAGATGAAAGCAAAGGGCACTAGGGAAAAACCTGTGGCCAGCCTCGGCAGGCCCGCAGCACACAGCCAGGAGGAGCTTCTGGGGAGGCGGGCCGGGCAGGGCCGCGCTCGGCGCTCCCCACGTGGGCCTGAGGGCGCGCGATTCCACTCACCAGGCCATCTATCTGCACTTGCTTCACGGCCGAATCTGCAGAGCCGCCTTTTCCTTTGCCTTTCCCCACCGCGCCGGAGGTGGAGCTGGAAGAGGCAGCGACGGAGCCTGAACCTTCCTTGCGGGACGCCATCTTTCCAGCCCGACAGGAAGAAAGAGAAATCCGCGTGACCGGAAGCGGAAGTGTGAGCGCCCCGTGACGTCCTCAGCGGTTGACGCGAAGGAGCGGGGAAGAGCAGCCAGGGTGGGGCCACGCCCCCGCTCCGGCCCCGCCCCCGCTCCGGCCCCGCCCCTCCTCCGGGCGGGAGACTTCGCGCTTGCGCACTGCTGCTTATCTCGCGTTTCCCAGAACAAAGTAGATTTCTCCAAAATATGGAGTTATTCTTCACCATTGAGACGTGGTTTCTTCAACATTCTGTAAATCAAGGCCAAGCGGGAATTGTGTAGCTTCTCTTACGAAATTTTGGATAATTATCTCTTACTGCTTAGTTTATACAGAAATGAATTAAATGATCAGCTACCAAAACTAAAAACCTTTTGCTGCTGTAACTTCATGCAGCGGTTTACACGAGTACGACAGAAGAAGTAATTATATGTAGTGCTGAAGGGTGATGTACAACGTTCTTTACAAATCTTGCTGACTTACGATCTGTAGTTTTGAAATACCTCAAGTCCTTGTGCCCGAAATGTCCTACATGTACTAATTCTCAAGTGTGTGTTCTCCATACCCCTCCACGAAACACCACCACACCTATCTGACCGTTAAGCATCTCCGTGTAAATGTCTAGTAGACAGCTCCAACTCAGCCTTTCCAAAACTGAGCTACAGATACATACCACACCTCTAAAAATAAATGTTTTTGCTCCAGTTTCTTCAACACCTCCTGCCTCAGCATCACAGAGGGCTGTGAGTACTCTGTTCCATTAGAAAATCCTGTAGGTTCCATCTATATTTCGCTTCCGCAAAGATGGAATGGACAGATTTCCCCCAATTCCAAAAAAAAAAAAAAAAAAAAAAAAAAAAAAAAAAACTAAACTAAATCCCTGGACATTCTATGTAAAAGTATATCTGACAGACAGGTATGAAAGACATGCCAGAATACAATAGGAATTTACAACTTGAAAAAATGAAACAAGAAAGACCAAAAATTCCATAAATGGGTATAATGGAAAAACGCACATAGAAAAAAGTCAGTGGAGATTAAATGATAAAAATAACTCAAAATACTAGCAATATAAAGTGGTAAAGCCACCATTGAAAATATGATGGTAGTCCACCCAAAATAAAAAAGAATTACCAAAAAATATCGGCAATTTCTCTTCCAGGTATATACGCCAGAGAATTTTTTAAAAAGGACTCAAACAGATATTTGTGTGGCAGTGCTGTCAGCAACATTATTCAAAATATCCAAAAGATACAATCAACTCAAATGTCCACTAGTGAATGAATGAATGAATGAATGAATGAAATGTGGTATATATGTACAGTGGGAGGTTAGTCAGCTTTAAATAGGAACATTATGCTAGGTGAAATAAGGAACATCAACACACCTACTTTAAAAGAACAACTAAAACAAATTAAAGGAAAGACTAAATACAAAATTGACAATGAAAAACCAACAGATATTTTTTATGTATTTAGTACAGGTCTACAAGGTTTCACTAGGTAGATCAGATTCATAGTGATCCTCCATTTTTAAGCCTCCCCAGCACTGAGATTACAGGTACATGCCACCGTGCCCAGTCTCAATCCCCATCTCAGCGCGCCCTGAAGGTGGAACTGGCACAGCTTGTGGTGCCAGAGATTGAACCCTGGTCCCTGTGCTCTGTCTAAGCAGATGCTGTAGTCCACTGAGCTATCTGGCTAGCCCAAAATCAATAGATTTTTGACACAGCAGTACACACTAGAAAAGAAAGAATCAGAAAAATAATTGCATTCACAATTGATGCAAAAAGGGCCGGCCAAATACTTCAGTGGATTAAAGCGCCTGCAAGAGGCACAGGGGGAAGGGGTTCGATCCCTAGGCCTGCCATGCTGGCCCTGCCCCTGGGGCTCATTGAGACAATGGTTGAGACTGGGCATGGTGGCACGTGCCTGAAATCCCAGCTCTTGGGAGGCTGTAAACAGGCGAATCACTAAGAGTCCAATCTAGTAGTGATACCCTGATCACCCTATAGACCCTTCCCTACAAATTTTTTTTAAAAAAGATACAAAAAACATTTAAAAATAAAATAAAAAACCTATAAATGAACCTAATCAAGGAGGTAAAATGAAAATTACAGACCACTGAGGAAAAACACTGGAGAATGGAAAGACCTCCCGTATTCATGGATCAGCAGAAACAATACTGCTAAAATGACCATATTACCAAAAGCAATCTACAGTTTCAATCCAATCTCCTTCAAAATTCCAGTGACAATCTTCAGAAAACTAGAACAAAGACAACTAAAATATATATGGAAACAGACTAGCCAAAACAATTCCAGGCAAATAGAGTAAGGCTGCAAGTGTCATAATACCTGACTTCAAACTGTGCTAAAAAGCTACAGTAACAAAACAAGCATGGTACTGACAGAAAAAGAGATATATAGAATGAATAGAAGACAGAAAAACAAAGCCACTCAGTGCCTACCATCTGATTGTTGACGAAAGGGCAAAGCACATACATTGGAGAAAAAATAACCTGTTTGGTGCTGGAGAAACTGCACATACGCAGAACATTGAGACTAAAATCTATCTTGCACCCTATATAAAAGCCAATTTGTAATAAACCTAGGTGTAAGAGGTGACACTTCAAAACTGCTAGATGAAAACAGGGAAAATGCTTAAGGCCATCAGCATGGCTTCCTGAATAGCACTCCAATAGTGTCGGAAATAATGACAAGTATCTAGAGAGGCAACTGTATCAATAGTTTCTGTACCGCAAGGCATACAACTAACAGAGTGAAGTGACAGCTTAGGAAACTTAATCCCCCGCCCCCCAAAAAAGCCCCAAGCAATGGCTGTGACTCATCCACATGGCTGACACTGAAAAAGGATCTACAATCTGAGGTACAGGATCTCAGGATAAATCCCGAGGGCATTTCACTGACCTTCTCAGACCCAAAAGCTACAACTCTTGTTGCATAGGTCCTGCTTTAACTTGGTCTTAACCATCCAGCAGAAAAGTATAAAAACGAAGTATAAGAAGTAAAGCCATGCTGTTATGTTGAGCTGTAGGGGACTCAGGTCAACAATTTCTGACACTGTCAGTCAAGTGGAAGACCCAATACTATTATGGGCTACTAAACTCTTTTAGAATATTTTGCTGATTTAACACACCTATAATATTCAAATGACGGAACTAAACAAAAAAGGGATATATAAATGAATGTCCATTTTGTATCTGTGTATTCAAAGTGGTTAGGATAGATATATAGTTACATTCTCTTAATGAATAGAGCAATTTGTTCTAATAGTGTTTGTAAATAAGATATCATGTCCACATCTTGTACAGCAATTAACCACTAGGAAGAATGTATGCAATGTGTTAATTATTGGAACTGTCCTACCAATTTGGTTTGAAACTGTCTCATTGCTATTTGTTTCTCAATAAAATTATGGAAAAAAATTTTTAAAAATTAAAAAAATAAATAAAACAACTTTTTATTGCCGAGGGAAAAAAAAAGAGCCCCATCAATAACTGGGAAAATGAGCTGAAGAGACTTCTCGGAAGGGCCCATAAATATATAAGAAATGCCAGCATCTTTAGCCATTAGGGAAATGCAAATTAAAATAACATTGAAATTATGTCACCCCAATCAAAACGACTGTCATCAAGAATGCAAAAACAGGACCAGGGCCCAGGGGTGAGGATCATGGGTCCTGGCATGCAGCTTCCCCCCAACATCCAGCTGGCACAGCATCTGGTGGGCAACAAGCAGGTGGCCCAGGACCAAGCAGTGTGGAAGCTGTGGACCCAGCAGGGTCCTGAAAAACATGATGAGCTGCTGAAAATATGAGAAGGGCTGTTTTACATGCCATGCTGTAAAACAGGACAAGCTGCTCCTGCAGGAGGAACTAGGGAGGACCATTGCCCAGCTTATCCATGCTTTTCAGACCACGGAGGCTCAGTACCTGTTCCAGCAGACCACAAGCTGTGCATGGGCAGGTATCAACTGACTGAGTCTGGATAAGTCCTATCTGCTTATGAGAATGGTCCTGAAGGCTGAGAGGAAGTGAGGATGGGGAGAGAGGGACATCAAGCAACTGCTGCAGTTGCTGATGACCAAGATCTTGCACAAGGACAGCCAGGCCCCCGGTGGTGTGAAGAGCCACTTCCTCCAGGTCTTCTTGGAGGAGCTGATCTAAATGGGCACCACCGAGCTCATGACTAACAAGAACCTGAGGTTTGTGGAGTCCTTCTGTAGGATTGTTGCCTACACTAAGGACCCCTTTAGTGTGGCTCTGTGCAACATCAGATGAGGCATCTCCGAGTTGATTGCAGAGCAGGCCCTCTTTGCCATCAAAGACCTCATGAAGGAACTGGATGTGTAGGAAAGGGAGGACAAGGCATCAGATGGTCGGCCAAGCCTCTGATGCCTGAGGTCCCCAACTTCTATGGGGCAGGTGAGGAGGGCAGGCCCAGGACATGTGCCTGCTTCAGGGCTACCAACTGCACCTGCTCTCCTTGGATCAGAGATTCAGGTCCTGGAGACTTAGAGCCTCACCCCCAAGGGACTGTTGTCCATGCCCCAGGGTCCCATGGAATCAAATGCTGTGGGCCCTACCACACTCTGGAAAAAAAAAAGAATACAAAAACAATAAATACATAAATAAATCAACCAATAAAAGCTGGCAAAGATATGGAGGGAAACCTACACTGTTGGTGGGACTGTAAATTAGTACTACATTACTGCATTCTCCTATGGAAACCAGGAGCTAAAACCAAAACTACCATATGACCTACCTATGCTACCCTTTGGTGTATACCTTAGAAAAGGTCAGCCTTCCATGAGGACAGCTGCAGAGCCTTGCTCACTGAATTACTCAATTCCCAGTAGCCAAGGCCTGGAAGTAGCCTGGTTCCATCAGTGGATGAGCATGCAAGGTGTGGTCTGTACTCAGGGCAGTGTTAGCTGTCCTCTGAGAGCAATGACATTATGTCATTTGCAGGAAAGTTGGTGAC